ATCTCTGTTCTTTGACAGAATTTTTATAGACTTCAATTCTTTATTCTAAAATTCTCATAAATCTCTATTTTATCTCTATTCTATATTATCTTCTTGATAGCATTCTTATAGATCTCTATTCTATCATGTGATCTATCTTCTGTGATAAACATTTCATAGATATCTGTCTATGATATGATCTCTGTTCTATCATAAAACTTTATAGATCTCTGTGATATGATCTCTATGATAAAGTTCTTACAGATCATTATTTTATGATATAATCTCTATTCTGTGATAAAAGTCTTATAGATCACTATTCTTAAGATATCTGTTTTATAATAGAAGTTTTATAGATCTCTATTTATGTTATGATATCTATGATAAAATTCTCTGTACACTATGTTAAATGTCATTATGCAAGTTAATGTTTTCACAATGAAATTGTTACTAATGTTTATTTTTAATTAAAATAAACATATTTGCAATAACTTATTTAGTGATGAGATTTTATTATGCAAGTCAATGTTTTCACAATCAAATTGAAACTAACCAATTGAATGTTTTCCACCAAATCAAGGTAATAACAACACTAAAATGCAAGGAATTACTGAGAGTGAAATAGAATGAGAAGACTCTAGTGAGGAGAAATGCCAATCAAAGAACAGGATTCAAGCAGATGGTGAGGAACATTTGATTTATATTTTGGAAAATTGTTGTAAACAGGGAAGCAAGAAACCAGAAAAGAATTCTACAGGTGAGAAGTGTGAGAAAAGAAACTATCAGAATAGATTTACAGATATATCTATTTCAACAGTAAAAAAAAAATAGTTGCCAATCTAGTACTACACTTAAAATTCATGTAGTCATAGTACAAAGAAGGAAAGCTCATTAGAACAACTGCCATGAAAATATTTCCAGAAAAGACAAAAGGTTTATGTTATGGTATTAGGAAAATGACTGATGTCAAGATGCCAGGTCAGGTCATTACAGACTCCTCTTTGGATTTTGTCCAAAATGTAAAGATATATAGCTGTAGCTCCAGACCAGATGTGACAGCAAGAAAGATCATCTGGCACAGTGAACAGACTTTCCTAACAGCAGACCTAGTAATTGGTTCAATATAATCGCTCCCTTTCATGTTAGCAGAAAATGTGAAACCAAGAAGATGCAGTGAGTTGCTATCCAGGAGGTTATCATCAAACATGTTGTTGGAAGGTATGAATGCTTCTGTTATAAAATAAAATAAGACATATCTCAGCTGATTTGCAGGCAAATAAACTAACATACTTAAGAGTGAGAGCCGGATGTGAACGGGAGAAGGCCCCATCACTAAATGACCATTATCATCGTCTACGCATAAGCCCGATGCACAAGTTCTGGTCGAAAAATAAAATATTTTAAAGTGTTTCTATTTTTCGACCAATAAAAATGCTTCCCTCCTAATTATACTCGCATTATTTTTTGAGCCTGTTAAACAAAGAGGAAATTTGGGTTATGCATGAGCTTTTGATTGAGGATACAATGTTCCACTATCTGCAGCAGTCTTTTCACCAATAATTTTAACCCCTTCAATTTTGCATTGCGTTGTAACAGGTGATGAAAAAAGCATACAACAATGATTCAGAAAACTGGAATATTCTGTTTTTTGTACAAATAACTTTCATATTTCTCAGTCAGATTTGTTTAAAATTGAATAATTTACTCTTAACAAGACATTGGTGTCCTAATGTTTGGGTCAACAACGTAAAATGATTGTAAACATTTATTAAGTTAAGAGTGTCTGTGGAATTGGAAAATAAGTTGCTGCATTTTTGTAGCTGCTGTGTAACAGAAGATACACCACTTTAAGCAGCATGAAGTTAAAAAACGCCATGCAAACCTTTGAGCCAGTAAAAGATCTAAAATAATAAAGTTAGGATAATATATAACAAAAAGGTTTGTTGTGACTAAAGATGTTCAACTTTTGGAAAAACAGAAAGTCAAAGTCCTGATTTCACTATAATTGAATTATTCTTATGGGAACTGAAGAAACAAATGCTCAAAAAAAAAAATATGCAATCTCCAAAAGCTTTTGGATTTCTGCTAAGAATGAATTCACAATGAGAAAATCTGGACCTTGTTCTATTAATCCCAAATCAAATCGAGGCAATTATTTGAGCCAAATGCAGCAACACTAATTGCTAATTCTATACTTTTATGTTTTGTACTTTCTGTAATTAATAAACGTCACTTGTGCTAAAAAATTTAATTTTTAACTTAAGAGCTGAAAGGTAAAATTTTTGCTGATGCCACAGCATTTTTGTATGGCCTTTTTTCAGCATCACCATGTGTTTTAACCTAGGAAAGGTTACTGAATAGAATAATCAAATGAAGGTTGGTAATGAATGATAATACTTAGGACAAGAACAACACATATAAGATTTGCCATCTGTGCATAAAAGTAGTAGTCAACTGCTAGAAGTGAGTCAAGTGAATTTCACAATGAATCTCCAACTGCAGATCAACATACAGTATTTACTACTATTTTTATATGAATGGGGACATACCCATTATCTTCCATAGGTATGCTACAACACTATGCTTAAGATGTCTTATCATAAACCATACAGCATTAATGAAAATGCAGTAAAATGCTATCTGGCCCTCAAAAATCATAAAATCTACTGAGAAAAGCATACTGCTAATCACTCTCAATTTGGGGGTAAAATTAACAAAAGTACAAGGTCTCCCAAAAGTTTTGCACACTAGTGTATACCAATTTGATATCAATAATCTTGCATTTCCACCCTGACAACTGAAATTTATTTAGTCATTTACATAAGAGGTCATTTTATGAGTGAAAGAATTGGTATAAAAAGAGTGGAATCTTCAGTGTTATATTGTTGTCTCATATCATAAAGAGCAAGAGTTAAGGATATATCAATGGTACAAAATGCTGTCATTCATGGAAAGCTGAGAAAACTCATAAGAAAATAGCTGTCAGAGTTGGATGTGCTCAGTTTGCTGTCTTGAAGAGAACAAGATGTCCCTGCAATTCCAAAGTCAAGACAACTTGAATAGGATTATTGACAGCTGAATAGGATCCTTATTTCTAATTGATTTGCCAATTGTTGTAATTTCCAAACCTAAAATGATTCTGGCATAACTGTTTCTTGGTCCACAACACTCCAAAGACTCCATCAGCTTGGATATAAAATCAGGATACTGATTTCGAAAACACTGCTAACTTTTAAACAAAAATAAAAGCTTTTAATCTGAGTTAGAGACCATCAAAGTTAGTCAGTTGATCAATGGAACCAGATTATTGTTATTGATGAATCAGAATTCTGCATTTCCTTCAGTTATCATGGCTGTTGGAGAATGTCATACAAGATTTACAATGCCAATTGCATAGAAATAGTATAAATTTCTCTCAATTTGTGATGAGTTGGGATTTTATGTGTGTCACTGATGTTGAAAAGAACTGTTTCTTGATAAGGTTGGTTATGTCTATTAGGATGTTCCAGATCATTTTCCCATCTCATACAATGAGAACAAATTTTGGGACAATGAATTTATCTTACAGAATGAACTTACTCCACTCCACAGAACAAAATCTATAAAGAATGGTTTAGGAAGAAGAGGATAACTGTTCTAGATTAACCTGCAAATAGCCCAAATGCAAATCCAATAGAAAATTCATGGGAATTATCAAGATGAGATAAAGGAACTACTAATCATCAAATCTTAAAGAAGTCATTGTTGAAGAATGGACTTCAGTGACACTTGACACCAAAAGATTGTTATATGTTAATTAGTTCATTATCACAATAAAGGAAAGAAATAGTAGATGCAAAAAGTTGTTACAACAAAGTATTAATGTACTAATGCATTTCTTCAAAATTGTGTTTATTAATAAATCCTTTTTCATAAGAAAAATCAGGATATTTTGGCTTTGTCTTACTAGCTATAACAATCTTCAGATTTTGAAAAACATGGTTTGTGTTTGAAATACAACAGTGAAATTCAAATATGAGTAAACTACCCAATTTTAAAGGAATTCAAGCAAGAAATATGAGAGTCACTTCCAAAAAAGTCAATATTTCATCTTTCTGAACCATTGTGTTTATACAATGGTTCAGAAAAAGGGACAGAGGGAAAACAGGAAGTAACCTACTTAGCTAATTTGCATAAGTGGATGGCAGAATGGCGAGAGGGAGGGATAGTGAAAAACAAAACTTAGCCGATGCTACAAAGTAAAGGAAGATGTGGAGAGACATGATCATCCATGTTCTGAAGTGACACACCATATAAAAATAAGGTATGTGCGTAGATAACTGATGCATGACATTAAGTATAGATTTACCAGTATTCTGCATCAGTTTACAATACTTGTTAATGCAGGCCCAGTTTCTCTGTTACAATCCAGCAACATGATGACAGAATTGAAGAAGAAGAAGAAGAAGAAGAAGAAGAAGAAGAAGAAGAAAATTATGTTTCTGTCACATAGTTAACAGAATTCTAGAAAACATTTCATGATTCTGAGTTTGTCTGTAGCTAAAATGGTTGTATAATTGTCACTAATGTCATAGATTAACATAGTGTTCATTTAAATAACATAGAACTAATATAAATAAATTAGTGCCTATGAATTCCAGCATTTGATTTAGGTATTTTTAATATTTTGATTCCTATATCAAAGAATGTGGTTTATATTCAAGCAATCTTTGTTTGATCCATATCTACCTCCCCTAGATTATCCAAACATTGAGCACTATTCAGCAAGAAATCTCCAACAAAAATGTTTGTAAACCATTTAAAAAAACATTCATATACATGGAGAATAAGGAGGAAAAAGTAATCTCTTCTCATAGCCCTTTAACTAATTCCATATTACTATAATGTTGACAGATATATATATATGTGTGTGTGTGTGTGTAGCTTAACAGATAATGAAGGTTATATTCTTCTTGAGGAGAGAGTAGCTTTCGTTTAGGGAAAAGCCCACCGATTATGCACTCAATAATATACAAACTCACAGACAGACAGATATGAAGAAACTGATTTGCATAAATAGAATGGGGTAGAAAGAAAATAGATAATTTTTACCAAATTTGGAAGAAGGAAAGTAGAAACAAAGGAAGGAAGGAAGGAAAGAAGGATGAATGGATGGATAGAAAGAAAGAACAAATGGAGAAAAGAATGAAGGAAGAAAAGAAGGAATGAAGGATGGCTGGCTGGCTAGAGGGATGAATAGAAAGAAAGAAAGAAAGAAAGAAAGAAAGAAAGAAAGAAAGAAAGAAAGAAAGAAAATGGATTGATGGGTGGATTTTAAGAAGATAATTAGATACAAAAATATTTTGATAGACATGTAAAAAGACTGATAGATAGATAGATAGATAGATAGATAGATAGATAGATAAAGAATTGTGAACAGAATATTATGGGTTAGAGAGAAACATAAATTGCTTTTACTTTTATTCATACCCTTTGATAGCTAAACCAGCCTTTTGTGGCATGTGAGGCATTGTTATTATCAATAGAAAAGACAGAAACAAACTGTCAGTGACCATTCCAAAAATAGTTCTATAGATCACAATACCACTCCAGTATAGGTTTCTAGGGACAAAGCAAATTATGCTCCTTGATGTCACTTTACAAATAAGAGTTCAAGTATGCCAAAGTCTAACTCAAAAATCATCACAGGGATCCTAAAGATAGCAAGGTCAGTAAGGCTGATTCTAATATTCAGTCAAGCAAAAAGTGGGATATGTTATAGTCGGAAGGGCACAACAGTTGAGCTGAGACTGATATAAAAACTTTGACACATGTAAAATGGTGATGGTTAACGTTTCAGAAGTTTGTAGTAAACCAAGAGATAAAAGTAAATGTCATTATATTAGTATATGGCTTGAAGTTGGGTTATGTTTTAGTCAATGAAAAATACTTTTGTTATATTATATTTTTATATAAACAATTACTAAACAGTTCATCTATCAAACTCCAGAGTCAAGGTGCTGAATATAACATCAGTCAGCTAAGTGTATATATATATATATATATATATATATATATATATATATATATATATATATATATGTGTGTGTGTGTGTGTGTGTGTGTGTAAAAATCAAAAATACATCCCCAGAGATACTGTGGAAAATGAAATAAAACCGTAAATAAAATAATAATGAAGAATAAAAAAAAAGAAAAAAAGAAATTCATTTTCCCATAATACAAGTTATAAAGAAATCAGAAAGGGTTTCTGATCACATACACAATTTTATGACCCCAATTCTGGAAAGGATAAAATCTCAACATCATTTAGACATATTTTAGCAGCCTTACTTGCGAAGTAAGTGAACTGATCACACAAAGCGGACTTAGCTTGACCACTTTAACCATTGTTACCCTTACTTACTTCTGAACCAAAAAAGATAATAGACTTACCCAAGAGACATTGATAACTTTGTTTCACTACAGTCACCATAGAAGGAATAAACAGATGGAGTAAAACCCAAGTTTTTGTATGCTTCTGTCTTCCTAGTTTACATATTCAACATGCACCTTCACCTAAAATACACACCAACACACAACCTGTAACTTCCATAATACTATATATTTATATAATTCTAGTAGGGATAATAATAATAAGAAGATAATAGTAATGTAGCTATTAATATAGGTAGATATTTATCTGACCTCCCTGCCAAAGTTTTAAGATGGGGAACAGAATATACATATGGACCAAGAATAAAAATTGTTTTTTGCCTGGCCCCCACATTCCATGTCATGCTGGCATTGATATTATACCAACCCAACCTCTTTCATCCAATGAGAAAGATACTGCTGCAGGGTTGGAATCCCCAGGGCTGAGCAACTTTTCCCATCTAAAATGAGAAGAAACACAGCTCCATTTAAAACACAGGAGTGATACCAAAGCCTAAGTAATCCTCATTGGTAAATTGTTAACTTCTGTGTCTGTTAATATATGTAAAATTATACAGGAGGCTGAAAAAGTTGGTATACAGTAAGTGTGCATCCATTACTGAGAACTGAACCCGGACTGTTACGATACAATCCAAGCGTCATACCACTGGACCAACATGCCTCAGTGATGAAGAAGAAACAAACTAGACTTGATATAGCATCGCTACTCACAAATTCTGTGATGATACTCATCCAAGTACTCAAACCCAAGAGCAATGTCTTCCTTCTTCTTAGCCAGTATTATTCTAATCCCCCCAAATTTTATCACTTGTATATCTTTGCTTGATCCAGCTAATGCTCTGAGATGGAGCATGAATTTGTGAGTAGCAGCACTATATCGAGTCTAGTCTGTTTCTTCTTCATCACCAAGGCCTATTGGTCTAGTAGCATGATGTTTGTGTTGTATCATAACGGTCCTGGTTAGATTCTCAGTTGTGGGTGCACACTGCTGATGCGTCCCAAATAAGACGAAACAAATGTCCAGTGCTTTCTGCATTCTGTTGAGGATTCTTATAGACTTGATGAATTACTATAATGATTATTTTAATCCTCCCCACCAAATTCTATCACTTGTATACAGTAAGTAATATACCATCATTATAATGGTCGTTCTAGGATTCAATCAATATGAAAATTCATTTAATTTATTAAAATCATTTTAAAATTTTTTATTTTCATAATTTTCATTGTAATATATCTTTTATAATTTTTGTTTTTTAATAAATAATAATAATGAATGTAAAGAGGAATCTGTGAATGATGGGGGCATACAGTTTGAACATTTGTGGGATTGATATGTTTATTGTCGATAAGTTTATTATTGATAGGTTTATTGATATGTTTGCATAACTAATACTATACATTTTGTTTTTCATTACTGTATACCTACTTTTGCACCATCCTGTATATTTCAACTTATGACAAGGCAAACAGAATTTTTGTCAATGAAGAGCTCAATAGCTATCTAGAGCAATAATTATTGTACGAAAAATATTAAGAGTTTGCAATACTTATCTAAAATCGAGTTTCAAGATTCTTCACTCCTCTATAATTCTAGTTATAAAGAATATAAAAACACTAAAAGAATATAAAAACATTACTGTCACATACAAGACACTTCCATATATTCCATATATATAGTTGGGTTTAGATGCCATCAGATGTAGTAACTGATATATTTTCTATATGATGTTAATGCATTATACACTTTTACTTTTTGTGATTGTTGTAATATGTTTCCATTGCACAAAAAGTCAAATAAAACTTTTTTATTAATTTATATTTGTTTATATATTGCTATAGATAATCTGGGTACTTATAGCATCATTTATCATGTGCAGTTCAATACTCACAAAAATACCACTCTTTTAGGCTATCAAAAAACTTTAAATTAATTTCTTAAAACATGTTGATTTTTATGTATAATTACAAGATAACATTTGTCACGTTTTTTATACATAATTCCATTTTGTATTGGTGAAAAACACAAGACAATTTAGAAAAATGTATTTATAAATACATTTTCTAAACTGCCTCAAAAGAGCTATAAAAATCAAGAAGACATTAAATTCTTTATTCTCTCATATGCAAAATACAAAACACTCTTCTCTATTTTAAAAATGATAAAATGGTTAAATTTATTTATCATAAATCATTCAAAAGAATTATTGAATCATGTTTGTTATTGTGATTCAATTCAGTTAATAAAAACGTAGGTTCTTATAACATATCACCTTTTCTGGCTGAGCCAATTCTTAAAGGAAATAATGTTAAAATAGATACTGTTTAACATTTTAATAAAATTTTAATTTAATTTTATAATTTCCTTAATATCTGAATAATATATAACTATAATATATATATATATATATATATATATATATATATATATATATATATATATATATATATATATTATATGATTATATGGCTATTATTTCTATTATAAAAACTTTTACATTTTTATTTTCAGATATCTAATCATCATACTTACATTTTATTTTAATTTAACTATGTACAAATCTCACTGATTTAGTCGCAGATGTATTTAAAATATTTATGAACTGTTAAATTTTTTCAAATTAACCACAACAATTTTATGTAGCAGGTTTTCAATGGTAATTAATTTTACTTAGATATTTTTTTTATTTATGTTTTGATAATGCTATCATAAAAATACCAAATTCCATCTTTGTATACATAGTTACAGTAAATTAAAACAATTTAACATTGATTGAGTTCAAAATAATGATTAAAAAGGATCTGCAAAATGTTGATGGCCTTACTCAACGGATGTTGAAAAATATCAAAACTTGACTATAATTTTATTTTTGGAACTTTTAAACTGATGTGGAAGCAGACCCCAAATATTTAGCAATCTATAAAATCCAATATTCATATTATAGCAATCCTTTTATACTGCACATTAGTTCAATCTCTTCTTTCAGACAACAAACTCAGCATGATTACTTTATTCTTGCTTATGTTTAATTCCTCTACACAGTTCTCAACCATTTTTTATCAATGGACAACTTTTACTCTTAATTTTTTTTAATGGAGCCCCCATAACCATTCAGTGAAAAAAAAGCTTTTTTTTATTTTTTACTAATAGATCGGTTTAGGAATTGTGTTATACAAATATTAAATGTATATACTTTATTTTGAAGCAAAACTAATTTAATGAAAATAAACTTGTATTTAACAACTAAATTCTATGGAACATTTATGTACATTAGGGAAATTTAAATATCTGAGAAGTGTTCTGACAGAGGACGGTAAGTGCAACACTGAGATCCGAAGACATATTGGGATGGCCAAAGACACATTCCAAAAGCTAGGCAGAGTATTTTAGGAGAATTTCATAGGTAACAAAGAAAAGAGTGCTGAACTGCTATATAATATCTGTCCTCCTTTACAGCAGCAAATGTTGGATGGTCTCCTCAAAGATGAAGAAGAGACTCAAGGCAATCGAAGTATGGTTCTACAGACAGATGCTAAGGATACCAATGACCAAACATGTGAGCAATGATGAAGTTTTGGAGAGGATGCAAACAAAGAGGAAACTTATACTTAACATCTGTAAAAGGCAGCTGAAATTTATAGGGCACATAATGAGAAAGGAATGCTTGGAAAATCTGATACTCACAGGGCAGATAGAGGAAAAGGGGCAAGGGGAAACAACATATGACATACTTAGCCGGCTTAAGCAAGTAGATGGCAGAACAGGGCTTGTGAGAAGTAGCAAAAAGACAAAACTTATTGAGAACTACAAAGGATAGGAGTAAGTGGAGAGCCATGGTTGCCTATGTCTAGAGTAAAAGGAACACTAACTTATATCACTTGATCTCGTTTTCTGCTAGTTTTAGAGTTGTTTTTCTATTTTTAGCATTTTAATTTAGATTATTGTAGAAATTCCAGTTCTCAGTTGTAAGGATCATTCCAAAGTGAAATTGCTCTATGGATCACTAGAATATTACCATTGACTTCCAATTTGCT